TATACAATGTTTCAGCTACCAATCACAAACACACTTGAAGTAAAATGGTTCAGCAAAGAAATTAAGAATCTCAATGAAGATATAGAAAATATAAATAGGAACCAAATGGAAATTTAGAACTTAAAAAAGACAGTAACCAAAAATTTTTAAAAATTCAACAGATGAGTTTAACAGCAGAATGGAAAGGACAGAGGAAAAAATCAGTGCACTGGAGATGGAACATAGAAATTACCCAATCAGTGCACCAATGAACAGAATATAAAATGGTACAGCCACTGTGAGGAAGAATATGGCAGTTCTTCAAAAAAGTAAACAGAATTACCAAATGATCCAGCAATTCCACTTCTAGGAATAGACCTGAAAGTATTCAAAGCAGGGATGCAAACATATTTGTACATCAATGTGCATAACAGCATTATTTAAAATAGCCAAAAGCTGGAACTACTCAATTGTCCTTCAAAATGTGGTATATACATAAAATGGAATATTATTAAGCCTTAAAAAGAAATGAAAGTCAGATACATGATACTACATGGATGAATTTTGAAAATATTACGCTAATTAATTTGCAGACACAAAAAAACAAATATTATAGGATCCCATTTTTATTAAGTACCTAGAACAATCAAGTTTATAGAGAAAGTAGAATCAAGGTTACCAGAAACAGGGAAGAGGAAAGAATAGGGAGTTATTGTTTAGTAGACGGAGAGTTTCAATTTGGGATGATGGAAAAGTGGTAACAGCTGCACAACAGTGTGTACACATTTAGAGACACTGAATTGTCCATTAAAAGTTAAAGTTTATGAGATTTTGCCACAATAAAGAAAAAAGTAGACTAGCCCAGCCAGTGTAACTTAGTGGATTGAGCTTCACCTCATGGACTGAGCGGTCCTGGTTCGATTCCCGGCCAGTACAGATGCTCGGGTTGTGCGCTCAATCCCCAGTAGAGGGCGTGCAGGGGGCAGCTGATTGATGTGTCTCTCATCTCAAGATGTTTTCTTTGGCTTTTAGAAGTTTGACTCTGATATGTCTTAGTGTGCATTTCTTTGGATATATCCTGTTTGGAGTTCATGTCAATGTTTCTATCGCTCTCTCCTTTCCTCTCTCTCTAAAAAAAAAATCAATACAAAACTTTTTTTTATGTTTAAAAAAAAAAAAAAATTGTCTAGAACACAAAATAGCAATCCTGCCCTGGCCTAGTGGCTCAGTTGGTTGGAGCATAATCCCATACACCAAAGGTTGCAGGTTCAATTCCCAATCAAGGCATATACCTAGGTTGAAGTTTCGATCCACAGTTGCATTTGAAAGGCAACTTGTCAATATTTCTCTCTCACATCAATGTTTCTCTCTCTCTCCCTTTCCCTAATAAAAACATATTTTTAGATAAGAAGAAAGAAAGAAAGAAAGAAAGAAAGAAAGAAAGAAAGAAAGAGAAAGAAAGAAGAAAGAAAAATATAGCAATCCTGTCATAGAAAGAGAAAAGAAAGAGAGCAGGGGTTAAAAGGTATTCAAAGAATTAATGACTAAAACTTCCTTCATACTAGGGGAAAAGTCATACCTACAGATTAAGAGGCTTGAATAGCCTGGCTGGTGTGGTTCAGTGGTTGAGTGTCAACCCATGCACCAAGAGGTCGCTGGTTTGATTTCCGGTCATTTTGGGCCCAATCCCCACTGGGTGGCATGCATGAGATGGCCAGTCAATGTTCTCTGTCATCAATGTCTCTCTTTCTCCCTTCCTCTCTCTCTAAAATCAATAAAGATGGCCTACAGTGTGGCTCAATGGTTGAGCATCGACCCATACGTTAAAATCAATAAAAAATTATTTTTTAAAAAAGAGGCTTTAATGAGCTCCAAATAGGATATATCCAAAGAAATGCACACCAAGACATATCAGAGTCAAACTTGTAAAAGCCAAAGAAAACATCTTGAAAGCTACAAGAAAAACAATGCCTTACTTATGAGAGAAACCATTGTAATTGAAATGGATTTCTCATCAGAAACCACAGAGACCAAGAGGAATTTGCATAATATTTTTCAACTACTAAAATAAAAGAACTCACCCCAGAAACCTATATTCAGCCAAAATATTGTTAAGGAATAAAAGAAATAAAAGCATTTTTAGATAAAGAAAAACTAAAGAGAATTGTCACTAGCAGTCCTACCCCAAAAGAATGACTAAAAGTAGTTCTCTAAAAGGAAAAGAAACAATAAAAAAAGAACCTTGGGACATCATTAAGAAAGAAGAAACACAGTAAACAAAAATATGGGTAATAACAATAGACTTTTGTTCTTCTTTTGAGTTTCCTAACTTATTATTTAGGGTTACAGCAAAAATTAGCATAGCAAAAAAAAAAAAAAAAAAAAAAAACAAAGCCAACTACAGTTATAATTATTTGACTTACTTTAAATGAAGTAGATCTGATATCAGAAATACTTAATAAAAACCACAACTTTCATAATTTAATGTGAAACTTTAAAGGTTTAATCTAAGCTTACATTACTGGCCATGCAAATATCTTTTGTGTGAAAATTATGCCAGCTTAAAGACATATATTAAAAGACTTCATATCCAGCCAGTGTGGCTCAGTGGTTGAGTGTTGGGCCCATGCACCACGAGGTCACTGGTTCAATTCCTGGTCAAGGCACATGCCCAGGTTGTGGGCCCAATCCCCAGTGTGGGGCATGCAGGAGGCAGCCAATCGATGTTCTCTCTCATCAATGTTTTTATCTCTCCCTCTCCCTTCCTCTCTCTTGAAAAAAAAAACCAAAAACTTCACCACCACCACTTCACTAAAATACTGTGGCTACCAGCAATTCATATAGGAAATAAAGATCAGTAATTACTCTGACTTTAAATTTTTAGAGCTGGTTTATATTTACCATGATAACATTTATATAGGTTTCATATTGCATAAACTTTATCACTATTATGATTATTGCTTTAGATCTTAATATACTGTATTCTCACCTAAACCAGGATTGAAAATTTTAAGCAAAATTTTCTGGACTGGCAAATATACAACCCCCTACCTTCCTCCCTTTCCCCTCAAAAAAGGAGTTGAGTTTTTAGGCCACATTAGAAAAAAAATCCTTCACTATGTTTGGATTGGAAGGGAAACATAATCTAAAATTTGATTTTAAATGGTCATGATTTGGGGTGATATTTTTATTTTTACTGGGGACAACTAGAACTGAATTAGTAGACATGTTTTAACTCGGGTTTTACTTTTAAGGTTTTTAGATTGCAACTTGGGTGGCTCCAAGCAGCAGCTAGGTGCTTTGGATCATTCACATAAAGATTAAGAGGCAAGTGTAAACCATAAAACCCTTGATAAGAAATAAGAATCTATTTACAAATAAGTATATGAACTAAACTTATTTATAAAAAGATATTGAAACAAATGTACTCATGAAGCAAAAATTAAATACCTACAGTGCTCTTTTTCTTTAGTTGTTTACAATCACAACAAACCAAAGTGCAACATGTTTAAGGGAAAGAATTAAGTTCTAAGGGTTTGTCATCTCACCACTTCTAAAGGTGAGATGCACTTGTTTTCTCCTGTATCATACAAGGTAGGGGATTTAAGAGAGTTGTTAAAGAGCTGACTTGAACAGCAGAAAATGGAGAACAAGAGGAAGAGGCAAGAAAGCATAGACAGGCTGGGTTTGAAGGGTCTGGGAATGCTGGTGTGGGAGGTGGTCTCTGATTTACTCTTCAGATACACTCATCATCCTTCTCTACCCTGATCTATGACTCCAGAAGGCTGACCTTTGATAGCTTTCTCAACCCGTTTCTCTTGCTTTGTGTCTTCAGGTTGGGTTTGGCTAATGTGAACTACCAGTAGGAGATTAGAAGTCAGGAGAAAGCAAGGCAAGGTTATTTATTTCCATGACTCCCTCAGACTTTACTTTGATAGTGGCTGCCATTTGTCTGTTTAAAGTCACAGCTCTTGCTGGGTGGCCTTCTATTACAATTAGAGGACATTCTGGGTTGCAGTCTCTGTGCCTCTTCAATCCTAGTGGTGATAATACTGGCTTCTCACAGTTGCTAGCCTCAGGGTGCTTCATCATCTCTGGTTTTCCCTCCATTTTTCACACATTGTAGTAAATAGGTTCTTCACTGAATGCTATTCCATTACTTTTTTCAAGTGTGTCATTAATTTTCAGCCAGGACTCTGATGGATACAGGTAGTGGGGAATGGGAGAAACTTCAAGGTAGTATTTAGGGTGTGCTAAACTGCTTGAGAGAGAGGTGGGAAGAGGTTTTCAGAGCTTTTTATACCCTTCTATGAGTGTAACACGACTTTTTTCTACGAGTTACTCTAATAAATTCCTGTTTCTTTGCATACACATCCAAGATAGAACTTGGCTATGAGATAGATGTCTGGGATTTATAAGACTAGATAAGGCTGCCAGCATCTATGTGGGGTGATTATATATTTCTCCTATGGAATAAGGATCAAACCCAACCCAGTGCACCTAATTTTTTTTAAATTCAGTGACTTTGCTATAGTGTGAAATTTATTTTTGTTGTTAGGTAGGTCAATATTGTTGGATTTTTAAAATATTCCCTTTTATTTTCTGTGTGCTCTCCCTCTCAAGAGTACACCTACACCTTTCCCTTCCCCGTCTTCTTCCCACCATGCATGTTACCCTTGCTTTTCCCTCTCCTACGCTCCAAAGGCCCTTCTTTTGCTTCCATCACTTGTTTCCTGAGCCTAAGGCAGCCCAGCTGGCTCACTTCTACTACCTCTGTAACTTTCTAAATAAACTTACTCTTATAATTTGAAAAAATAAATACTTTTATTCTTAAACATAAATTGGGGAACGTACACTAATTCCTTCAAGAATCAGTGATTCGGTGCATGTTGTTACATTTAGATTGGTAATTAGATTCAGATTGTTATATTTAAGCACCACTCCAAAGGTGCATATAAGACAGGCGACTGTTGTTTGTTCGACACTATAACAGTTTATATAGCTGAGATTTTGGTTCTCAATTAGAGTTTTCTCTCACCAGAATCTACTACTTTCCTGCGACAAATAGGACAGGTAGAGTTGTCAGCCAGCCAGCGATCAATGCAGTGGGCATGATATTCATGGGAGCAAGGTAGGCTGCGAAGCTTGTTGCCTTCTGTGTACTCTGTCATGCAAATGATACAGGCTTTTAGTGTATCATTTTCAACAAAAGATCTTATAACCAAGTTGTCAATCTGTGCTTTGCTGAGTCCTGTAGGATGATTATGATTATCATTCAAGAGAAAAAACTGATCAAGAGAGGCCCAAGAGTCACTTTCATCAAATATTATTGGGGTCATAGATCTACTGTCACTTCTAGTTTCTGATGATAAGTGTGGTGACACTCTTCTTTCGTCACTGCCTTCAGAGAACAGTGGGCTAATTTCTGAATTTTCATCACTGGAGCTGGAACTGGAAATCAGACTGGAGCTGGAACTGGGCATCAGATTGGAGCTGGAACTGGACGTGTAACTGGAGTTTAAACTAGAAGGCAATGTGGAATGTGAACAGGAATCACAGCTAGAATTTGAAGTAGAACCGGAACTCCTTCTACCATGAAAACAATCTCTTCCATTGGGAGACTCTGTCCTATCCATGTTTTGACTTCTGGCTAAGAGACAAGGCTCTAAATCACAGTCACTGTACATAAGATTGCTTGAGTCACTAAAATCTGTCATTGTCTGCCTTAACGTGCTTTGAATTGCACCAGATGTGTTTAAACCCATATTTAAAATTCTACAAATGGGAATTCCAGTGGTACTAACGTAAGCCCTTATATCTGCCTGTTCATAATGTGAAAACATATGGCTAAGTTCTCCTTGTTCACTTTCTAAAGTGACAGTGTTATTTGGTGTCTCGGGTGTTTTTTGAGTTATACTAGTTAGGCGGTCTCTCTCAGAATATGCTACAGGATGAACTCGTTCCACTTCAGAATAGAAGCATATGGTTGAGTTTATTTGTCTCAGTCCACAAGATTCACTATCACTGGCTGTGTCTGGAGAAGATTCTCTTTGAATGTTATTTCTTGTTCCAGAAGTTGCAAAAAGACCCCTATTTTGTAATTCAACTCCAGTTATTTGCTGTCTCAATGTTTCTTGGTGCTGAGTTCTAAAAAATCTCTCAGTCGCATTTACCAACGGCTGCTCAAAGGTTGGAGATGATACACTGTGATGCAGTCCTCGTAAAAGTTCACTCAGTGAATGTGGGGGTGACCTGCGTTCAGTTGTTGCTCTGGTTCTACTATGGTCTGGGCTTCTGCTGCTTGCTCTTTTCTGACCTCTGGGAGGTGGGACTTCTGTTGACGCTCCAGTTGTACTTGGTTCTGATCTAGATGATCTCGTAAATCTTGATTCAGATTGTGGGTTTTGCATATGACCTTGACTGTTTTCCCTATTTTCTCCTCTGGGAAGTCTTGTAGATGGTGCATATTTATTCTCTACTCTTGCCCTCCCATTATGAAGGTTAATATTTATTTCTGACCTGAATCTGTAATCACTGTGTGGATTAACCCGGCTCCCTTCCCTCCAAGGCTGTTGTTCTCTCTGCCCACTTGTCACAATTTCAGTTTGTTTGCAAGAATTCAGCTGGTCTCTTACAGAGCCACTCTTTGGAGATGATTGACTATGATGAAGTCTTTGTGAAAGCTGACCCAGTGAACAAGGAGGTGACCTTCTTTCAGTTGTTGCTCTGGTTCTACTATGGTCTGGGCTTGTGCTGCTTGCTCTATTCTGACCTATGGGAGGTGGGACTTCTGTTGACGCTCCATTTGCACTTCGTTCTGATCTAGATGGTCTCGTAAATCTTGATTCAGATTGTGGGTTTTCCATATGACTTTGGCTGTTTTCCCTATTTTCTCCCTTGGGAAGTCTTGTAGATGGTGCGTATTTATTCTCTACTCTTGCTCTCCCGTTATGAAAGTTAATATTTATTTCTGACCTGAATCTGAAATCACTGTGTGGATTAACCTGGTTCATTTCTCTCCAAGGCTGGTATTCTCTTTGCCCCCTTGTCACATTTTCAGTTGGTTCAAAAGAGGTAAGCCAGTCTATTAAAGAGTCACTGCTAGACACATCATCTGAAGAGTCTCCTTCACCTGTTAAGGGAAAAGAGGGGAACTCAGAAAGAAATACCAAGATCAGAACCATCATAAAATAGCACCCTGAAACTTTATTTCAAAATAATGATAAATACTGAGATCTTGTAAACAGGTTTCATTTATAGAATTAATAATTTGTAAACTATGCTATGTTACTTTGACAAGTAAAAGCAGGAAACTTTCGATTCCATCTGAAAAGACAGAGATAATCCTAGATAAATTTAGAGAATTGTTTTTTTGAAAAGGAATCTGGAGGATGTCTATTTTTAATATTTCATCCTATACACAGCTTTGTGTACCACTGTGGGAGGAATGTCAAGAGGCAACAGTTTTTTTATGCCACTGTCAAAATTTACTAATGCAGTTAAACAAGGCAAATACCAGTTAAGTTACCGGGCTTGTTATTTTACTTCAGTTTACATTATTGTATAATTCTTATTAGTCTACAATATTATTTCTAGGCTTTTGACTTAAGTGCTTTTGATAATATATAAAGTGTTTTAAAATATAGGACTATTGTATATAAAGAAGGTTTATAGATTTAAAAGTATCTGAGCCCTGGCCGGTTTGGCTCAGCAGTAGAGTGCGGACCCTCGGACTAATGAGTCGTGGATTTGATTCCGGTCAAGGGCATGGATCTTGGTTGCAGTTAGTCCCCAGCCCTGGTTGGGGTCATGCAGGAGGCAGCCAGTCCATGTGTCCCTCTCACATCAGTGTTTCTCTCTCCCTCCCACTCTATCTGAAGATAAATAGAAAAATATCCTCAGATGAGAATTTTAAAAAAAGAATTTGAATACTTCATAATGTTACCAAGATTTTGAATTGACATGAAATTGAAGGTTAGGTCAAATGAATAGACTGAACCTAGCATTGGACATATAAGACCACATTCAAGAACCAAAGTATTTCAGTATCCTCTTCGTTACGTACTAAAAGTCTATACTTCACACTGGGAGAGAAGCACCAGATCTACGGTTAGGGCTTCCCAGCCTCAGCACTATTGACTTTTGGCGCTGTACAGTTTTTCGTTTGGGGAGCTATCCTGTGTGTTGTGGGAAGTTTGGCAGCATTCCCAGCCTCGCCCACTGGGTGCCAGTAGCACTCACCCCCTTACCTGCAACAACCAAAAATATATTTAGACATTGTCAAATTCCCCCAGAACTACTTGATTAGAATATGAAATATTTATTTTTGTTGGTGAGGAAGTCACATGTCTATATAGAAAAAACTAATTTAGGAAGCAGGAGGGACTTTTTTATTGATTTTAGAGAGAGAGAAAGGGAGAGGGAGAGAGAGATAGAAACACCAATGAGAGAGAACATCGATTGGCCGCCTCCTGCATGCCCCCTACTAGGGATCCGGCCCACGACCTGAGCATGTGCCTTGACCAGGAATCAAACCGGTGACCTTTTGGTGCATGGGTCGATGTTCAACCACTGAGCCACACTGGCCGGGCAGTAGGAGGAACTTTCAATTGAGATGGAAAACCAAGGAAAAGATCAATAGATTATTTTACACAGTTTCCCAATTAAGACAACCCAAATATGAATCAGGGGGAAAAAAAAAAAAGTATCTCGACATTCTCACCAAAAAACAAGTAAATGCCAGCTCATTTTTAATTAGAAATTACTTAGCACCAAATTAATTTGCGCCAGTCTGTATACTCTCTGACCGACATTTACTATTATGAAGTTCCTTATCCATCCCATCCTATTCCCCTCACAAGCAAAATATACCTGTATTTTCATCTGAGTTTTCCAGTAGGTTTTCTTTAATTAGCTGAAATCTTCGCAGCTCTGCTTCTGTGCTCTCACCCGGGTTGCCTGGCAGATTGTTGCCCCCCAGAAGCTTGTAATCGTCTTCACTCAGGTTACTGACAAATCGATGGAAATCCTCCCGAACCAATCGGGCCATCTGACTTCTGCGCCGGGCCACAGATCCATCTCCTTCCTCGCCAGAGTCTGAGTTTTCCATCGTGATGAACAAGTGGAAAATTATCCGACTTTTACAAAATGGTGGTGATACACAAACAAATACTTTCTGCTTCAGTGTCAGGATACCACTCAGTCGATCCGCCTCTGCTTCTGTTTCTCTTCCTTTTCCACCGCTGCTGCAGTTCTGCAGCTGCTGGGGAGTCAACTGTTGAGACCAACTGTTAAACCAACTGCTCTGGTCCTTGTTGCCTAGGCAACATGGTCTTCCCCATTGTTACCATATTGGGACCTCATTCAGGTTAGGTTTCATTTCATTACAAACAGCAGATATTGGCGAGGGCTTAATTGTGTACCAAGCACAGTCCTTCACCTTCTTTATCCTACATGAGCCTATTCTCGGGCTCGCAGGAGGCTTTTTCAGACTCTGATATGCTCTAGTTATTTGTATGTTAAATTACAGAACCCAAATGCATCTAGTGACAGTATATATGACTGCCTCCTTCAAAATGTCATGCCAAAGTCATCCTAGTTAAATGCAACAGTTCTCATTTTCAGGTGCCAGGGACCTCTGTCTTTCTCCTCATAATTCCTTAAATCATAGACACTAAGAAAGTCCACAATTTTTGATAACTCACCAGGGTCATTTAATTGGGTCATCTCCCTTTTATAATGGCTTCATCTGGCATTATACAACCCTTCTGTTGGTGGATATGGGGTTCTTGCCATGTTACAGGAAAAGCATTTCCAGAGACCCACAAGACAGGATGAGGTCTGGTCGCAAAATTAAAGAAGTTCTTCAATGTCCCATCTCTCTGTCCGTCTTGCCATGGAAAATCAGGGCCAGAAATAGAGTCAATATCCAGAGATTTTGTGTCATATTAAAGCTTAGTTCAGTCCAGCATTTGGCTAACAGCTTGTGTTCCTGATGTAATAATTTCATTCTGACCCTCAGTTACTGCACGTACATACCTTGGCAGTTCCTTTTCTGTAAACATAAGGGCCTTGAGAAACCCAAAGAAAACTATAAAGATAAAGGGTTAATGAAAGCCTTGGGAAACTCAGAGGAATCATGAAAAGAAAGAGATTAATTGTTGCCCTGAATTCTGACAAGCTCCTCTCTCCCCATTCTCTGTATCAGCCCCCCTTATCGGTGCCAAAAGTGGCGCCAAGAGAACATAGTTTTTTTCTTTCTTTCTGTAGTTTGTGCCTTTAAAAGCGGGCAACAAAGAAGGCTTGGGGCTGACGATTTGGGGAGAGCCCCCCTTCAGTCCACCGGTGTAATAAAGTGCTCCTTTACAATTCTTTTTTTTGTTTTTTTTATCCTCACCCAAGGACATTTTCCCATTTTTTGTTCAGGTAGAGTGGGAGGGAGAGAGAGGAAGAGAGAGAGAGAGAAACATCGACGTGAAGGAACACATCGAGTGGCTGCCACCCGCACCACCGACCAGGGCCGGGGACAAACTGCAACCGAGGTACGCGCCCTTAGCGGGAACCGAACCCTGGTCTCTCTGGACCGCAGGCCGACGCTCTAACCACTGAGCCAAACTGGCCAGGGCCTCCTTTACAATTCTGCTGTGCGTCTCTGGTTATCTCTCTGACACCTTACAACACTGACTGCAATCCATTGCTGTGCTTTGGTATCCAGGCTCCTATGCGGAGACTGTTTGGAATCAGGTAGTCATCAGCCAGGCAGCTTCTAGGGCCCCATGGCTATGGAGAGAGAACAGGCCAGCACACGGAGCAAGCTTGGGTCACCAGCAAGAGAAGGGGGGAGGGAGAGGGAGGGGGGGAGAGAGAGAGAGAGAGAGAGAGAGAACGAGCTTTGTTTACCTGGAATTATACAATTTCAGGCTGGGAGGAACCAGAAGCTTTTCAAAATAACCAGTCAGCTTCCCAAACTTTCCCAGGTTTGCATTGGCTCCACCCTCCTAGCCAGTGATCTTTTCCCCAGGTTAGACTGACAGGCCTTTATGGTTGAGCACCTCCCCTGTGCCATTTTTACTTTTACTGTGCATGTTCTTGTCCCCCCCTTGCTCCACTGACAAAACACAGTACTGGAGGAGGGAAGAGATAGGTGTTAATCACTTCAAGGGACAATCTGCAATTTCTTGGGATATGAAGCTGTAGCTTCCTGGCTGAAGATGCTCAACAATGTCTCCCCCTTTGCTTCCTTTCCTATCAGTAATTAGCTAACTGTGGTAACACTTCAAGCTTCTGTTTAAAAAAATAAAATAAATACATTAATTACAAATTTGGCTGGTTTTCTCTCATCCAAAGAATCCCTTTAGGAATTCTCCACAAATGCATCCAGTTTCATTTTTGTTTCTCTTTCTCGTAAGTATTATAAATATAACTTAAATAAAACCAGCCAGAACATCACAGACACTTTTTAAACAGATCCATAATATTTATTTATTTACTTATCTATTTATTTATTTATTGGTATGTGCCCCTAGTGGGAACTGAACCCAGGACTCTCCGGTTCGCAGGCCGACACTCCAACCTCTGAGCCAAACTGGCCAGGACCATAATAGTTATTTTGCCTACCATAATGAGTGCTGACTTTGCTGATCTTGTTATATGCATGTTAGTGCAACCAGGATGGCTTGGTGAACATGATGCTCATTTGCAATCCTATCTGAAGGAGACTTCTAAGAGTTTCTGGACTCATTAATGTTACCAGTCCCACTTAATGCTTGCTTAGAATTCCTTCATTCAAGTTGTTCACGTAAAGACAAGATTTGGCTGCTAAATTTGAGACATTATTCCATTTAATTTATTTTAATAATTAATTCATCAAACATAAACTGAGTCAGTTACTGCTAGTAGAGAGATGTTAACTGTTGCAGCAGTCTATACTCCCAAGTAATTCACAGTCCAGGTGGAATCATCACCTCACTTGTCTATCTTGTATACATGAGACTGAAGAAAACATAGAGAGAGGAAAACGAAGACAAAATAACTATTATGGAAACTATCAAAATTCAATATATGCTGTAGTAGATGTATATGAGTAGTATTGTATAAGTGTGAGAACTGTGATGATTGTTTAATGGGAGTTGGGAAATGTTTCACAGAGATATTACGTTTAAATCTGAATCTTTAAATATTCTGAGTTTCTGCAGATGGAATAGGTGTTGATGAAGAGAGACTATGTCAGACGGAAGGAATAAACTTAAGAGACCTTGTCTTGTTTGGGCGACTGTGGCCACAGTTTTGGGGTTGGGGTGGAAATATTGTGAAATTAATCCCAGAAGGAATAATGGACAGAGTTTAAGTGAGTTTTGATTTTTATTTTCCTGTAAGAAATAGGACACTGGTTAAGATGTTTTGTTACTTTTTGAGAAAAAGCAGTGGATTTTGTTTTTGCCTGCTTAGTGTCTATCCTAAGATACTTAGGATAATAGCACCCTGATTTCCTGGGGGGAAAACCCATTGTCCAGTCTTAATCCAGTTGGTTTAGGATTAACTGAATTCACTCTCTTGGCTAAAAGGAGGACACAATATGCAGCCATGTCCAGTTAACTGATCTCAAATTGCTGGTTATGGTCACTGCTTAAGCATGGGCATGTGACCAGAAGTACATTTAAGAGTTAAATTTGAGATGTTAACTGAAACTACTAAAAACGAGAAATTATTTTCCACTGTGGTTGCTAAGCTGGTAGGATGTAACCCAAAAGATGCTCATGTCTATCTTATATACACGAGAATGAAGAAAATCAACATAAAGAGAGGAAAACAAAGACAGAAGGAGCCAGATACATGAAACAAAATTGTAAAACTATGTGAAGCTACTTGTGCCATAGGATTTTTAGATCTGTAAACCAGTGTATTTCATTCTTTTAATGTAAGCTTATAAAGGATTTTTTGTCACTTATGATGGGAAGGTTCCTAATAATTGCAACAGGAAAGTGATATCATCAGTGATCTAATCAGATATCAAAAATAAAATTTTCGAGAAAGAAGGTTGGACAACTTCCAGTCAAGATGGCGGGTAGGTAAACGCGGTATCATGTCCTCCCACAACCACATCAAAGTTACAACTAAACTACAGAACAACCATCATTCAAAACCGTCTGAGATCCAGCTGAATGGAAGTCCTACAGCTACGGAATTACAGCAGCAGCCACACCGAGACTGGTAGGAGGGCGGAGGGGACGGGCTGGTCCCACACCCACATGTGGGGATAAAAATCAGGAGGACACCTCGGCTGGGAAGGTCCTCCCTGAGGACTGAGGGGTCCCCGTCCCACACCAAATGCCCCGCTCAGGGTTTCAGTGCCAGGAAGAGAATCCCCGTAACTTCTGGCTGGAAAAACCAGTGGGAACTGAGGCTCAGGGAGGCTGAAGCAGCTGGAGCCCCAGGCAGCTCCTTAAAGGGCCCGCGCACGGACTTATCGGACTCTCTCCCTCTAAGCTCGGAGGGGAGGCAGCTCGAGGGGCACCAGAGACGTACAGGGAAGAACTGAGCTGTTTGGCACTGGAGCGAGGGCTGGAGAGGGGGCTTTCTCTGGCACAAATGTGCTGTCAGAGGCCTTTGTTCCTTTGGTGAGCCCTTCCCTGGGGCAGCAGACAGTGGCCATATCTGGGACTCCAGCAACCTGGCTCACACTGGTAGCCCCGCCCTGGTGACTCCCTGAGGCCCCGCCCCACCCAATTTTCAGGCCCACCCAAGCTGTTGCCAATTGCGTAACCATAGGATTGGCCTGTCTTGGATCCTGCTTCAGGTGTTCCTAAATTCTTTCAAACAAGCAGCATCTGGTCTCAGGTAGTCCCATACCTCTCGTTAAGTAATACATAGAGACAAACACAGGGAGGCAGCGAAAATGAGGAGACAAAGACACAGGTCCCAAATGAAAGAACAGAACAAAACCCGAAGAAAAGAACTAAGCGGAATGGAGATAAGCAACCTAACAGATGCTGAGTTCAAAATACTGCTTATAAGGATGCTCAGTGAACTTAGTGAGAACCTCAGTGAACTTAGTGAGGGCCTCAAGAGCATAAAAAAGGACCAGTCAGAAATGATGGATGCACAGTTAGA